GGGGGGGGGGGGGGGGAACATAATGTGGACCCAGCGAAAGGCAGAGAATTTTAGTAGTTTTAAAAAAATTAAATGGGGAAAAAACAAACCCAAACCCTAAATCCGGAGTCCTGATTACTTTTCTGTGATTGTTTCAGACTTGAAGCAACAGGCCAGCATGGCTGGTCAAATGCCCTTTGATCGTGTAAATATCCTGCTATTTCCTATTTTAATGTTCTTCAGATTTAGTACTTGTAAATAAACACACGCATCAAGGAGAGATTAAACATTTTTGCTAAAGCCGGTGTCTCGCCTGTGTTTTGCGGGCCGTGCAGGCGGGAGGAGTGGGTGGCCCTGGGGAAGGTCCGTTCCCAGGAGCGGTGCCCGAACCCCGTGGCCGTGCCAGGGTGACGCGATGCAGAATGGCATCGGGATGGGCCAGCATCACCCGGGGGTGTGTGTGTGTGTGTGTGTGTGGGGGGACACCCCACGCTCTGGATGCTCGCACACCCAGAGCATCCCTGGGGCCTCCTGCGGGCGCTCACAGCGGGATTTGGGCGGTCGATGGTGGCAGATGTGGGGGGACATTCCCCCGTTTGGAGGGAGCGTCCCTGGGCTGGGAGGTCAGGGATGGGGCTCTGCCCAGCACGAAGACCAAAATCATACAAATTAACCTGCTTTTTTTTTTTTTTTTAAATTTATTTATCTTTTTTCCCTTCTTTCCTTAGCATCTCCCCTTCCTGGGCCCAATCTCCTGAGGGTTTGGGCCGGCGGGGCTGGTTGTGTACGATGAATCCTAAATGCACCTTTTCTCTGCGTTTAGTGTATGTATAAACTAGGATGTTTCTTCTGTTTTCTCCTGCAGTTTTCTGACTCTCCAGTGAGAAGAACATCAGCAACAAGTATTAAACATCCACTATTTTAGCCGTAGTGCTGTGAAAACATAGATTGATTTGATTTTTTTTTCTTTTTTGAGTGTAAAAAAAAAAAAACCAAAAGGTTTTCTTTTAACAACCTTTCAACTGTGTAAGAAAATCACACTTTAACTGAATTTTGTTCAGGTTGCTGGAAGGATTTAATGGAGGGCAATGGGAAAAAAGACCCTCATATCCCAAAATTTTGTGGCTGCAAACACCATCCTGGTGGTGACATGGGAGCTGGTGGCAGGTGAGTGCTCTACTGGGTATGGAAACTGTATTTAAATGACACGTGCCAAGTTTTCAGCCCAACACGCGGTGCGGCTTTCACTGCTTCTGGGGTCTTCTCAAGGTACAAGGGTGAGGATCTTTCCCTAAAGAGTCGGGTTGGGTTTCCGTGGTGGTTTGTCCTCACTGGATGTGTTGGAGGGGACCCCACACTCAGCTGGCAGCAGCCCCCCACCGACGCCTCTTGTCCCCTCGGTGAGGCACCTCCGCGGGGGCGCAGTGTGGTTGGGGTTCCCTCCCATGGATCCTCTCCTGCTTCGGGCTGAAATCTCTTGCTGGAGGACATCTGTGTGCCGTGAGAGGGGAAGGGGTGACCGTGACACCCATCTGGGACTTACTGTTGTCCCCATAAACCCTCTTGCTGGATCTTATTGCTTTGCTCTGAGCCATTTTCAAGCAGTTTTGTTTTTTTTTTTTTTTCCTCCTTAATATTTGCTCAATTGTTTTGTCGGGGAACAAAAGCTCAGAAAACCTCCTGGTTGGCCAAATAAATAAATATCTAGTATTTCATGATCGCCAGGACGTTCTTCAATACAAATTGCACCAGTTTTCCCAAGGAGTAAGAGCTCCTGGCATGGAGCCAGGGCCTCCAACGACAGCTACAAATGTCTTTGTTTGCCTTCTCAGTTCCAGTGCAGAGCTAAGCAGAAAAAGATTATCAAGGCCTGCAAATGATTGTGTAATCCACAAATGCACTTTATTTGATTAAATGATAAAATGTGAACCTTCCAGCAATAACATACACCGCTGCCGCCTGACTCGGCCGTAATTCAGCAAATCTGCAGCGGCGTGCCCGGCGCTGACGGGGCTCGGCGGAGAGGCAGCCCGTGACCACCCTGGCTGGCCCGGGGGGGGACCTTGGAGGGCCCTGTGCCATCATCTCGCCCCGACTCGGGCTCTAGGTGAGTGGCACATCCCAGGGAACCCGTGTGGTGGTTGGTGTGGGACCTCTGCCCTGCGCCATCACTGTGGGCTTGCACTTGGCCTCTGCACCTCCTTGTTCTCACCAGCCACGTGGAGACTCTCCCCGCCTTTGGGTCTCTCTATATATGAGGAAGGATTTCTGTGCAGAAGGGGCTGTTGGGCGTTGGAATGGGCTGCCCAGGGCAGGGGGGAGTCCCCGGGATCCCTGGAGGGGTTGAAGAGTCGGGCTGAGCCAGCGCTGAGGGATCTGGGGGAGTTGGGAAGGGTCAGGGTGAGGGTCATGGTTGGGCTGGAGGAGCTGCAGGGGCTTTTCCAACCCGGATGGTTCTGAGATTCTGTGAAGAATGGAATGGAATGGAATGGAATGGAATAGAAATAGAAATAGGAATAGAATAGAAATAGAATAGAAATAGGAATAGAATAGAATAGAATAGAATAGAATAGAATAGAATAGAATAGAATAGAATAGAATAGAATAGAATAGAATAGAATAGAATAGAATAAATTAAGACCCAATAGAATAGAATAGAATAGAATAGAATAGAATAGAATAGAATAGAATAGAATAGAATAGAATAGAATAGAATAGAATAGAATAGAATAGAATAGAATAGAATAGAATAGAATAGAATAGAATAGAATAGAATAGAATAGAATAGAATAGAATAGAATAGAATAGAATAGAATAGAATAGAATAGAATAGAATAGAATAGAATAGAATAGAATAGAATAGAATAGAATAGAATAGAATAGAATAGAATAGAATAGAATAGAATAGAATAGAATAGAATAGAATAGAATAGAATAGAATAGAATAGAATAGAATAGAATAGAATAGAATAGAATAGAATAGAATAGAATAGAATAGAATAGAATAGAATAGAATAGAATAGAATAGAATAGAATAGAATAGAATAGAATAGAATAGAATAGAATAGAATAGAATAGAATAGAATAGAATAGAATAGAATAGAATAGAATAGAATAGAATAGAATAGAATAGAATAGAATAGAATAGAATAGAATAGAATAGAATAGAATAGAATAGAATAGAATAGAATAGAATAGAATAGAATAGAATAGAATAGAATAGAATAGAATAAATTAAGACCCAACTAGAGTATTAACACGGGCTGTGAGCGCCAGGCCACGTGCTGGGTTCAGGCATCTCATGGGAAAGGCCAGAGCAGCATCACGTGGCCTTGCAAGTTGAAGGATACGACGGGGGGTTTCCTCCCACTCTGAGGTGATGATTAAGTTTCTTCTGAGCTGCTGGGAAGAGGGAAAAGAAAAAAAAAAAAATCCATAAATTGTGAAGGCAGCAAGGGCCGAGCAGAGCAACGCTGCCTTTCTCTTCCCGCCTGGACTAATGAAAATCGCAGCCACGCTGGGAGACGACTGGTTTATGTTTGTTCTTTGCTTTAAATGTAGTGGTAAAAAGCCCACAGTTTTGGGCTCGGCTCGGAGGTGGGATCATTAGGAGGTGGCAAGCGGCGGCTGATACACATTAATGTGCCACGAGCAGTCAGAGCTTCACTGTGGTTGTTTTTTTTTTTTAAACTGAGGCAAATGATTGCTTCAGGAAAACGTC